CATCCTCTTTCTTTGAGTCTGTGAGTGCCCTTTCTAGTGAGGTGAGTCTCTTGGAGGCAATAAATTGTTGCCTGGTGATATTTTATCCATTTTGCCATTCTATGTCTTTTCAGTGGTGCATTTAATCCATTCACATTCAAGCTAATCATTGAAATGTGAGAGTTGATCCCTGTCATAAGGTTCTTACAGCGTTGGTGTTGTTCTTCCTGTTTGTGTGTTGTCTTTCTTTGGGTTTTAGAGTCAGTTCATATGTATTTTTAATCTTTTGCCTGTACTCTTTAAAGAACGTTGTTGTTCTTTTTTCCTTTTCTTCTGTGTTCAATACTTTCTTAAGTGTTTCTTGTAGAGGTGGTCTGGTGGCAGCGAAAGTTCTTAGGGACTGGATGTCTGGGAAAGCTTTCAATTCTCCCTCACTGATGAAGCTTAGCTTGGCTGGGTTGAAATTGCTTATCTTTTAGAACTTTGAAGATAGGGCTCCAAGCTCTCCTAGCCTGGAGGGTTTCTGTAGATAAATCTTCTGCTATTCAAATTGGTCTTCCCTGGTAGGTAGTCTGACCATTTTCTCTTGCTGCCTTTAGGATTTTTTCTTTTATAACTACTTTGTTTAGGAGAATTATTATGTGTCTGGGAGTTGGTTTTCTCATTTTTTGTCTTGCAGGGTTTCTCTGAATCTCTTGTGTTTGAATTTTTGCATCACTGATGAGATGAAGGAAGTTTTCTTGAATGATTTCATGAAATGTTTGTTCCAGTGTGGTCTCTGTTTCTCTCTCTGCCTCAGGAAGGCCAATTACTGTTAGGTTTTTTCTCTTGAAGTGATCATTCATCTCTTGAAGGTTTTGTTCTGTCTTTTTAAGCTTCTTTTCTACGTTTTTGACAGTTTGGGTTAGTTCTGTGTTTTGGTCTTCGAGCTCTGAGATTCTTTCTTCTGCTTGGCTAATTCTGCTTTCCATGCTTATTCATTTGTTATTTATTTCCATCACAGTATTCTTTACTGCTGTTATTTCTGCCATCAGCTCCTTCCTATTTTCCTCTTGTCTCTGCTCAATTTTTTAATTCTCTCTATTAATGTCTTGATGTCTGGGTTTGTTGCATGTGACCAGTCATTCTGGGGGCTCTTCATTGTTTGTGTTCTGAAGTCTGTTTTCTCAGTATCTGACTTCCCAGGGGTCTGTATGAGACCTATGTTCTTCTTTTGGTTTTTCTTCATTTGTGCAGCTTTTTCCTCTCTACTTTTTCCTTCCCTCCATGTCACCATCTTCTTTAATTCTGTTATTTGGGGTGGAAGGGTTGCTTTTACTTCTGTTTGTTCAATCTCCTATTCTTCTTTATGTATATCCTCTTACTTTGTTCAATTCTGGAGTTGCACTGTAGGTTGGGAGTGGTCCTTTTTGCAGTGTTGAGATTTTCTTAAGGGGGGAGCTGTGATTCAAAATCTCTCTGCAAGTCCTGCTATCCGCTGACAGGTGTATGGATAATCTGAAACCCACTTCCCACTGCCTTGGAATCTGTCCGTGCAGGGGGGGGTTGTAGGTTTACTCCCCGAAATAAAATGAGGTTAACAGAGGGAAGATAATGGAGCAGACAGTGGGGGGAAGAGGGGGATGGAGAGAGAGAGGAGTAAGGGGAAAACAGACAAGTGTACCAACAAATGGAGAGAGAGACAAAAACTGAAACAGATAAAAACAATAGACCATGGCTACAAACTAACCAACTCCCATACAAAAAAAACTAAAACACATAATGATGCTAACATACAAGCTAACCAATCTCCTTGTTGGTGTGCTATTCCTCTATACAAAATATGGTTTACAGAGAGAAGAAAAGAAAATAAGAAAAAAAAAGAAAAAAAGGAACAAAGCAAAAGAAATAGAATCAAGTCAGTGAACTAACAGAACCAATCAAGCACACTCTGAGACTTTTCATTTAATTCCAATGTCCTTTCAGCTCTGATTTCTAGCTGTCTTTTCAGGCTGGTAAATTTGTTCACAGTTAGGGTCAGTTGCCCCTGGCCTGCTGTGAAGGGCAGTTCAGATAACCACTCAGTTCACTACTGCCCAGTTCACCACTCAGATCTGGCCTGTGTCTATTTATCAAACTTTTGTTTTTCCCTTTTTGGTGGTGTTACTTTGAGGTGATGCTATCTCACCGCTCCAGATGGTCTTTATCTCAGCTGCTTGCCCTACAGGGGAGGGAGCCAGAAAGAAGCTGGAAATGAGAGCCGCTGTCTCAAGGCAGACGGGAGGAGACCCACGGCCTGGCAGGATGTCATGGTGGCAGTAGTGGTGGCAGCGATCTCAGCAGATCTTTCTTGCAGGGGCTTCAAGGTCTGAAGGTGTGGATTGCCGCAGGCACGGGTGGTGTGATGTGCAATGGCCGCCGCTGTGGCGGCAGTGGCTGCCCAGACCGCTGTGATGCTTCAGCTGTGTCAACGGCTGAACTCTGTGTGAAGAGCAGGCTGCCGACAATGGGATCTGCAGCCCCTGGGGAAAGAGCCAGAGTCTTTTTCTGTTCTCTTTTGCGGATGTCTCATAGACCAAGCTGCCCCGTCACCATCTTGCCGGAAGTCAAAATATATCAATGCCATAAATAAAATTAAATACTTTGAAATACACTTAACAAAACATATATATATATAGGATTTTAATGCTGATAATTATTAAATACTGATAAGATAAATTTTAAAAAGAATAAATAAATGGAGAGACATAGTGTGTTCGTGAATTAGAAGGTCCACATAGTAAAGATACCAGTTTTTATCAGATTTATAGATTTAAAGCAATCCCTATAACAAATTTCAGGTTTTCTGTAGACATAGGTAGGCTTATACTAAAAATTTATATGGAAAGACACAGTTCCTAAAATAGCTAAAACAACCTTGACAAAGAAGAATAAAGTGAGAGAAATTAGTCTACCTAATATTAAGGCTTACTATATAGCTACAGGAATCAAGACCATGGTATTGGTGGAAGATAGACACATACATCAATGAAACGGAATAAAGAATCCTGAAACAGACCTATGCAAATATCCCCAGCTAGTTTTTGACAAAGGTACAAAATTAATTCAGTGGAGAAAGGACAATCTTTTTGACAAACAGTGCTGGAGGGAAAAAAAAGAAACACCTCAACCAAACCTGATATTGTTGTAAAAACTAACTCAAAATGAATGATGGAATTAAATGTAAAATATAAACTATAAAAGTTTTAGGAAAAGCCGGGCTTGGTGGCTCAGCCTATAATCCCGTGCCTTTGGGAGGCTGAGGTGAGTGGATTGCCTGAGCCTGCGGGTTCGAGACCCGCCTGGGCAGCAAGACCTCATCTCTACAATAAATCAAAAAATCAGTTGGACGTGGTAGTGCATGCCTATAATTCTGGCTACTTGGAAGGCTGAGGCGGAAGGATCGCCAGAGCCCAGCAGGTCGATGCTGCGGTGGCCAGGAGCGGCCACTGCATTCCAGTCTGGGCGACAGAGTGAGACTCCAACTCAAAAAAAAGTTTTAGGAAAAAAGAATAGGTGAAAATTCTCAGGATGTAGGCCTGGGAAGAGTTCTTAGATTTCACATTGAAAGCATGATCTTTAAAAGGAAAGATTGATAAATTATATTTCATCAAAATTTTTACTCTTTGGAAACCCATGTGAAAAGAATGAAAAGACAAACTACAGGGAAAGAGTTATATGCAAACCATGTGTCTAACCAGGAACTACTATCTAGAATATATGAAGAAGTATCAAAACTCAAAAGTAAGAAAACAAATAATACAATGAAGAGAATGGGCAAAATCAAGAACAGACATTTCAGGAAAGAGGATCTATAGATGACAGGTAAGCACATGAAAAGTTGTTTAGCGTCATTAGCCATCATGAAATGCAAATTAAACCACAATGAAATATTACTACACATTGATTGGAATGGCTAAAATAAAAATAATAGTGAACCACCAAATGCTGAAGAATATGCAGAGAAACTGCATCACCCATAGATCGCCAGTGGGAATGTAAAATATTACAGCCACTCAGAATAAAAGTTTCATAGTTTCTTATAAAACTAAGCATGCAGTTACCATACAATCTAGCAACTGCACTCCTGGGTAGTTATCTTAGACAAAATAAAATTATGTTTACATTAAAGCCTGTATACAAAAGCTTATAGCAACTTCCAAATTGGAAGCAATCCAAATCTGTGGTACATCCATACAGTAGAATGCTACCTAACAATAAAAAGGAAAGAACTATTGATACATGCAACAACCTGGATAATTCCAGAGAAATTATGCTGTGTTAAAAAAAAATCCCAAAAGGTTGCATACCACATGATTTCATTGATACAACATTTTTGGACAGAAAGTGCAGCAAATATCAGAAGGGATTGCTTTTCCATTTCCCACGGAGCAATGGAATTAAAGAGAAAGGTAAGAGAACTGCTACAAAGAAGAGAAACCAATTAAAAATCACTGATAACACCTGAAGTCCCAGCAAAGAGCCATTACCTGAGAGAATAGCCACTGGAGCATAAACAATAGCTATCTTTGAGAATGACTATACCCAGACATCTCTAAGATATGTGCAGTTTTATTAAGAAGCCAAACCTACCTTTGATCAGTATATATAGGATTGGAGAATCAATGGACAGAATGAATTAAAACCAAATGCAAGGACAAAAACGAAATGAAATCGCAACAGAATTGGACAGACTCAAGAAAGCATATTTAGAACTAATGGAAATAACTCCTTCCAAGAAGTAAACAAACTGACAAACATAGGAAGCAGTATTGACCAATTAGAAGAAAGAATCGCAAAGCTGGAAGGCCAAAATACGGAATTAACCCAATCTATGAAAAATATAGACCTCCGGGGTAGAAGGTTCTGGCCCGCGCATGCCCCTCGCTGCCCAGTGCGCCCCCGGCACTGCTTCCGCCGGCTCAGGCCACTGGGTCATGGATCGCCAGCTCACCAGGTGCTGAAGGCATCTCTGGGACTGGAGCGCAGCCCAGGAAAGAAACTCACAGCAGGATTGATGAACAGATCCTTGGATTCAGAGGTCAGCTGAGGCACACCATGCCCGCGCCCGCCTTTTGCTCTGTGAAGTTGTGAATTGCCCATGCTTGCAGGGAGGAAGGATGGCACATGGGATCCCTTCTCAAGGCAAAGTTACCATAACGGTGGATGAGTACAGCTCCAATGCCTCCCGGGCCTTCACGCACTACAACATCAGCCAGAGCAGATTCCAGCCACCGCACGTACACATGGTCAACCCCATCCCATATGACACTCCAAAACTAGCGGGCCACATGCGGTTTGTGTGCATCTCAGACACACACTTCAGAACAGATGGTATCCAGATGCCTTACGGGGATGTCCTTCTCCACACGGACAATTTCACTGAGCTGGGACTACCCTCCGAGGTTAAGAAGTTTAATGACTGGTTAGGAAACCTGACATATGAATATAAAATAGTGATTGCTGGGAATCATGAACTGACATTTGATAAGGAATTCATGGCAGACCTTGTTAAACAGGACTACTACCGTTTCCCCTCTGTGTCCAAATTGAAACCAGAGGACTTTGACAATGTTCAGTCTCTCCTGACAAACAGTATTTACTTACAAGATTCGGAGGTAACGGTGAAGGGATTCAGGATATATGGTGCACCTTGGACCCCGTGGTTTAATGGATGGGGCTTTAACCTACCCAGAGGTCAGTCTCTGCTGGACAAGTGGAACCTCATCCCTGAGGGCATCGACTTACTCATGCCTCATGGACCTCCTCTAGGTTTTCAAGACTGGGTTCCCAAGGAACGTCAAAGAATGGGCCGTGTCGAGGTTGAACATGGTTCAGAGGCGAGTCCGGCCCAAGCTCCACGTGTTTGGTGGGACCTATGAAGGTTACGGCATCATGACCGACGGTTACACGATGTACATCAACGCCCCGACGTGTACAGTCAGCTTTCAGCCCGCCAACCCGCCAATTATCTTTGACCTTCCAAACCCACAGGGATCCTGAAGCTCTCTCTGCTGGCATACGTGGCCCCGATTTATAGCAATTGTCCCAACAGAAGCTGGCATGGAAAAGACTTCTCTTCACGCTTTCTAATGAAAGCTGTGTCGAGGGAAGGAAACAGCCCTCGTAGAGAGGATGGCTTAGCGAGCGAGAGTCCTATCGTGGTTATATAAGGTCTCCTTGTTTGTTTGTTTCTTTGAAATTATTTTAGCTTTAAAAATACAGTAATGGAATCTGTCAAGAGCAGGTGTTTCATACAGTTCAAGAAGGAAAAAAACGAGCGCGCAGACTCCTTTTCAATATGGGTTTATATATATGCATATTTTTTGTGTATTATGACTAAGTTAGGAGTTTAATATTGCCAAGGACAGCCCAACCACACGGGTGGCTGGACTGCAAGGCAGCCAAAGCCTGGAGGGAACGGACACGTTTTCTCAGAACTCAAGGTCTCAAAGAGCTTGGGTCAAATCTCGGTACAGTGGCAGGTGTGTATAGACTTAAGTGGCTGCAACAGAAGCTTACTAAAATAAGCTTAGTTGTCCTCTCTATTTAAATGCCCCCAAATGCCTCCTTACTTCCCTACCCCCTCCCCATTTTGCACTGTGTGTCAATGCAATCCTTTCTAACACAAAATATTGTCGCTAGTAGTCATTTCTGTTTCCCCATTGTAAATGCTGTCAAGCTTTATTCTATTTCATGTTACCTTGTTAATGAAATTTAGGAAAGCAGTTGTCTCTTTAAATCTATTGTGCTATTCTATATCTAGCGGCCTTTATATGCAAATAAAATAGCAAGATTTTTTTTTTAAAAGAAAGAAAAATATAGAAAAAAAAACAACTTAAGAAGAAAGAAGAAACTCTCTAAGAGATGTGCAGTTTTATCAAGAAGCCAAACCTACCTTTGATCAGTATATCTGATATAGAAAGAGAGACAAAAAACACTTTGGAATAGATGTTTCATGAGGTCATTCAGGAAAACTTTCCTCATCTGATCAGAGACATGATTATACAAGCACAAGAGATTCAGAGAACCCTGCAAGACATATTATGAGAAGACCAACCCCTAGACAAATAGTAATTCATCCACACAAAGTAGATATGAAAGAAAAAGTTCTGAAGGCAGCAAGGGAAAAAGGTCAGACTACTTTCCAGGGAAGACCAATCAGAATCACTCCAGACTTATCTGCAGAAACACTAAAAGCCAGAAGGAATTGGACCCCAGTCTTTAGTGTTCTCAAAGATAAACAATTTCAACCAAGAAATTCCCACCTAGCCAAGCTAACTTTAAGAAAAAAAAAAAAAAAAAAAAAAAATATATATATATATATATATATATATATACACACACACACACGGAAAAGCACACAGGTCCTAAAATGGCAAAAGCAATCTTGACAAAGAAGAATAAAGTGAGAATAAGTCTACCTAATATTAAGGCTTACTATATAGCTATGGGAATCAAGACTGTGGTATTGGTGGAAGACAGACACATAGATCAATGGAACAGAATAGACAATCTTGAAACAGACCTATGCAAATATGCCCAGCTAATTAAATGGAGAATTAAAATCCTTCCCAGACATCTAATTCTTAACAGAATATGCTGCCTCCAGACCAGCTCTGCAGGAGATGTTTAAAAAAGTGCTGTGCACAGAAGAAAAAAGAAAGCCCATACACTTCACAAGATCACAAATGAGCACAGAAGCAACAGAGCATATAACACACCTCCAAAAATGAAAATACAAAAGTTACAAGAGAACAAAACAGTCTTATACGAACTTTATGACAGGGACAAATATGAATGAATCACTATTATTTCATGTTGGAGGAACAGGGGAAATTGGTCTTTCATATCCTTGAGAATAGGTTCATGTGTTTGTTTTTTTTTTCTTTTAACAGACTTGATCTCCTAAAAAAACCAAACATTTGATGAACATTGTACTATATTCTTGCCTACTTATAATTGTGGAGGGTTATAGAAGGGAAAAGGAGTCAGATTTGTTGAATTCAGTGTGGAACTTAATATAAGAACACTAAATTGAAATGGCGTATTTTAAAACACCTAATTTAAAAATATTTCTTGGTAATCTTCCTGCTGTTGACTGACTCTAGTGTGGGCATTTGTGGCATCATTAGGTTTCAGAAGAAGCAGAGAAACATTGCTAAAATATGTTATATGAGCCTGTTCTATTCTGCAGACCTATTTGTTCAGGGATGGGGCTGCCCACCCTAACTCAGACCCTGAACTGTGAATGATTCAGCAAGTATGGGGGGGGGCAGCCCTTATTTCTCAAAGGAATAATATTGCTTTGAGATGTCAGGAAGCTATAGTGAATCAGTGGACTGTTGTTTTGAGTACTAAGGAGGATAGGTATATTCCTCACGATGACTGCAGGCATGTACCTATGAACACAGTTAATCGCTGTTCATTTGCCTTCATCTACCCATTCTTGTATCTATCATAGCTCCTTTTACTTTGACATACAGGAAAGCGAGAAATGCATTGTTAAAATCAGAACAACTTTGAACTTTTTATGCCAACAGGACTCATTACTTACATGAATGAGTCCACAAATGTCTGTGAATTATCTATGGAAAGAGTATAATATTGCTTAATCAGATTTTCTTTTAGTAAATGGGTTATATATAATTTTTATTTAGATGATTGACCACTTTGGCATTCTAGGTATAAGACCCCAGTCCTTTGTCCATTCTCACTGGTCTGGTGTTCATAATAGAGCCATCTGGAACCAAAGTTCATGTATAAGTGGCTAGTTTCAGAGAGAGATTCACTCCAATGGGTGTTAATTTAAGCTTTGAAGCCTATGGACTCAGGCTTGAATCCTGAATATTCTAGTTATTAGCAAATTATTTATCTTCTCTATGCCTTTATTTCCTCATATGTAAAGTGGGAGAAATGACATCCACTTCCCTGTGCAATTGAGAATAATAAATGAGATTCTAGGTATATAAAGTATCCAGGATTGTTTCATTTGCAGAGTAAGTGCTAAGGAAAATCAGGAGGATCAAAGATCAGCTATGAAACAAAGACCTCCCTTATGGCTGGATGTATTGTTTTGTCCAAGAGCAACTGTTTACCTTGGCTTGTGGAATCTTGAAGTCATGTCACCATATATACTTGGTTCCTTGCATTCTTCTGGCCTCTTGCTTTGACACTTCTAGACCAGAGTACCATTAGCAATTGCTGTGTTGAGCATATACCATATTTTCTTGATTTAATGTTGGTTTTTCATATTTGTTTATAATTATAATATAGTATGTACCTTATATTCTGAAATTGAACATCTCCCAAAAGTTCCAGTTATATTTATTTAGATATGAGGTTTTCAGTGGGAAAATGTAATTTTCAATTAATTTGTTTTATTATTATTGTTAGTTTTTTTGAGACAAGAGCTCACGCTGTCACTCAGGCTAAAATACGGCATAATTATGGCCCACTGTAGCCACAACCTCCTGGGCTCAAGTCCTCCTGCCTCAGACTCCCCAGTAGCTGAGACTACAGGTACATACCACCACACCTGGCTATCTTTTATTTCTTTTTCTTTTTTTTTAAGAGAGAGGGTTTTGCTGTGTTGCTCAGGCTGATCTTGAACTCCTGGCCTTAAACCATCCTCCCACCTCAGCCTCCCAAAGTACTGGGATTATAAGCATGAGCCGCCGGGCTCGGTGGCTCAGCCTGTAATCCCGCACCTTTGGGAGGCTGAGGTGAGTGGATTGCCTGAGCCTGTGGGTTTTAGACCCGCCTGGGCAGCAAGACCTCATCTCTACAATAAATCAAAAAATCAGCCAGACATGGTAGCGCACGCCTGTAGTTCTGGCTACTCGGAAGGCTGAGGCGGAAGGATCGCCGGAGCCCAGCAGATTGAGGCTGCGGTGGCCGGCAGCGGCCACTGCACTCCAGTCTGGGCGACCGAGTGAGACTCCAACTCAAAAAAAAAAAAAAAAAAAAGCATGAGCCACTGTGTCGGTCAGTCTGTTTTATTATATGCCATTTCAGTCCACAGATAATTTTAGGTGGCTTACAGATTGAATATACAAAGGGGGATCCCCCCAAATTATCTTTTTGGAGAGCAGGCCCTTTTTAGTACACTTAGAATTTGTTTCTCAGATCAGATAGTCAACCAAAGTTTTTACCTGGAAGTTTTGAGAAAATTTTGTGATGATTTAAAGAAGAAACATCCCTAGTTGTGGCAAACAACTGACTGGTTCTTCCACTATAATAAGACACACGTCCGCATCGTGCTGAGTGTTCAGCAGTATTTGATCAAAAATGGCATGACCCCTGTGCCCCACCCTTCCTATTCACCCAATCCTGCCTTGAATGACTTTTTTTGTTTTCCCTTATCAAAAAAGTCCTCAAAGGGAAATGTTTTGCTGATGTGGAAGAGGCACAACAAAAAAATGGCAGAAGTACTAAAAGGGATCAACACCGACAAGTTCAAAAACTGTTTTGAGCAGTGAAAATAATGTCTCAATAGGTGTATTGTATCAAATGGAGAGTACTTTGAAGTTGACTGAAATTTAAACATGTAAAAGTAAATACACAGTATTTAATTAATAAATTCCATTTTTTAGGTCCCCCCTCATATATACTAAAAAATAGAGCATCAAAAGACCGAAGACAAGTAGATTTTGTTTCACATACACATAACATATAGCAAGCATTTGTGTTTATGTGTTTACTTTTAAAAAGGTAAAATTAACTTGTTAAAAAATTTTAAATGGTCTAACATTTTATTTCTGAACAGATACTATCTTCATTTACTGATAAAGAACTCTTTGCATACGCAAAAGCTGGAGCAGTAGCTGAAGAGGTCTTAGCAGCAATTAGAACTGTGATTGCATTTGGAGGACAACAAAAAGAACTTGAAAGGTTTGAGTTTCTTTTTTAAGTAGATAGAAATGTTACATTTTATGTCGTTTCAGCTTCATGTGTCATTCAGGTTAACAGTGCTATATACATATATATTTTTTTTTCTTGAC